TTTACTAAGGCAATTTTTAGCTTATTTTCGTCAAAAAAGACCCTGTAGCGCCTAAACGGTTTGAGATAGAGCAAAACGGACGAAATTTTCGCCCATGGGGCTCTACTTTGACGAGTTACCCCTTAGGAGGTCGCTAGCTCAATTCGTTCTCGAGTTATCGTGCGCACAGACACACAGACAGACGCGAAACTTTTTGATCATCACTGGAAGGCTTCGCTATCGCTCGACCAAAAAGTAGGAGACAGACCTATTCTTAAATTTGTATCATCTGCTTTCAAGATAGATTCTTGATTTAGATTTTTTATTTTAGATGATATCGAGTGACCCCCCAAAAAAAAAAAAAAATTACAAATATCACGTAGTACGGAGAGAGCAACACCATTTAAAATCGAGTAGTGGATGGAGAATAAAAGGTTTCGCGCTTTTACATTTGGCTGTGAGATCACTCTAAACAACAGCTCAAAGCCCCCTGAAGATCAGACAGGGTCCTACGAAAGTGCAATGGGCGAGGTATTTCAGCACTAAGTTATGCACCGATTTCAACGAGATGTATCCCCTGAGGAATTGTACACGTCACGCGATTGAGGCCACTTTTCGACCCCCCCCCCCTTTAATGTGACGTCACAAACATACAAAATTCTATATAAATCGCTAACGCTAAGGTTTACTATAGCTGATAAAATCAGTGTATAAGGTGACATCGCTACATTAAAAAGGTATCATTTCCGAGGGGGTATTCACTTCGGATTTTCGTGTACAGACTACTCCGTATTACGCGTATTACCGAGTATTACTGGGTATTACAGGGTATTACCAGGTATTACCGAGTATTACCAGGTATTACCAAGTATTACAGCGAATTACCAGGTATTACCAAGTATTACAGCGTATTACCTGGTATTACCAAGTATTACTGATCATCTGAAAAAGGTTTTTTCAAAAGCGTACATACATACATAATTGCTTATAATTTGAAGCAGTCGGTAATTTGACCTTAGCTCAGAATATTAGTTTGCCTTGCCTATATTTATTAAGTTAAAAGATCATCAATGATCACGTCCAGGTTTTTGGCTCATATTTCTTTTTAGCTTGACAACATTAGAAAGTGACTAGCTATTGCCAGCTCATTGACAGTTTGTGCCCCTGACAGCTGGTGCCCCAACTCTCCCTTACACAGTTACGTTTTCAGAGTAAGAACTGAGCCTTAACACCGGTGTAGAAAAGAACGACCTAGCCGCGAGCCTACACTGCGAAATTCTTACAAAGAATTTTAAAGCATTGTAAGGAAGTTTGCATTGCAAACTATTTTATTCGTAAGTTGCGAAGAAACGGTTCGCAAGGTTAGGAACTAATTCTTCGCAGCGTTATTAACTATTTTTTTCGTAAGGTGCAAATAATTAGTTTGCAATGCGAAGGATCTCAATGCAAAGCATTTTACAACGATTCGAATTTCTTTTCAAGCTTTTTACAGTGTAGCTGTAAAGGCTAATATCTTAGCTCTTTTTGCTTATTAGCTAATCGAGCTTATATTCTGAGCTATTGCAAAATTAGCAAAATCATTCAGCTATTTTAGGTAATTCTTTGTGTGTATGTGTGTGTTTGTGTGTGTGTGTGTGTGTGTGTGTGTGTGTGTGTGTGTCAGAAAACCTGTCATCTTCGTAAAGTGCAACATCTTTCAGAATTGATTACATTTTGAAACTGTCACATTGGTAAACACATGATGTCACATATGTTTCGACTCGAGTCAACCAGGCTTAGCTAAAAATGAAAGCACAAGAATTGAATGACAGTGATTATTCTTGATTGGTTTTGAACGAAACACGTTTTGTATCAACTACTACTTTCATCGATGTTTCGGCTTCATTTTGCTAATGTCCATTGGTCGCCCAGAAAGAAATCTATATGTCCCGTCTTATCATCTATTGCAGTTTTGTAGGACAACTGATTTTGTAACGTTCTGGCTAAGTGAGGTTCAGCAGTGGCACACATTATTGCAGGGTATTACAGGGTATTACAGCGTATTACCGGGTATTACTGCGTATTACCAGGTATTACTGCGTATTACAAGGTATTACCGGGTATTACTGAGTATTACAGGGTATTACAGTCATCGTGTACAGGGTATTACTGAAGTGAATACCCCCTCGATCATTTCCCATCAGCACTGTAAAAAATGAGAGACAGATACGGTAGCAGGTAGGCCTACGGTGCTTCGTATGTGCCAAACTGAAACATGCTACGGAGCACAGAGTACGGAGAGACCGCACCCATTGATTTTAAGCTCAGAGCTGTTAAACGGCTTCACCGTACCCACAGAAAGCGTTACGGAAGAACCGTTTTGCGACGCTGTAGCACTCAAACGGAAGGTACGGTCGGTCCGTACTCAGCGCCGTTCAAAACAAGCAGGCCCGCCCTTCCGCCAAACGAAGTTGCCAGCTCCGCTTCGCTCCGCCGGCAACTCCGTTCGGCAGGGGCCGGGCCTGCTTGGC